AGAGGGGTGCTGGAAGACGAGTCCCGCATGGATGGAGAAGTGCCTGGGGTGGGGGTCACGGCACCAGTCACAGCTGGTCTTGACCCAAGACATCCACCTTCTCCTGCCCTCAGACATTAGCACTCATGGTCCTCAGACTTTCGGACTCAGTCTGGGACTGTATGTATATCAGCTCCCAGTTCTCAGGCCTTCAGAGTTGGGCTGAATTATACCACCAGCTTCACGGAGACAAGAGACAAGGTGGAAAGCAAAACTGTGAGTTTTGCTCACACTGAGACCAGTGTGAGTGGGATATTCCATGTTCATGCGGGGGACTGGGGCTTTGGTGACCCCAGACAGCCTATAGCTGCTCAATGACCCCTTTGAAGGAGGCTACCCTTCAGATCTGCTGCCGTCATTACCCTAATTGGCTCAGGAACTATGAGGGTAACCTGGGTAAGTTGGGTAACCCTGCAGGCTTCCAGTGTCTTGAACTCGAGTGTCCTGGGCTGGGCAAGATGGCAGGGATGCCACCCTGGGGCCCACTTGGGTCATGAGAATGGCATCCAAACACCTTAGGAAAATGGTGTGGCCCAGGGACACCAGGCACTATGCAACCAGCCACTGTGGCAGCCAGATCAAACTCTGCCATTTACGCACATTTTTGTTACTATGAGCAAATTCAAATACACACATCCTTTGCCCATGGCTCACCATGATATGAGTCTGAAACTTAGCAGCCACTGTCATGGAGCTGCACCAAGGGGAAGGTCCCAGGGCTCGAGTGGGCAAGAAGGTTATCACCTAGTGCCTCCGCACGCCCTCTAGTTTGCAGACCTGTGTCGCGCATCATCGGTCTCACAAATATTTACTAAAACGTACACACATGGTCCTTGAGGTACCCGATCACGCAAAGAGGTTTTCTGAGAGTCTGAGGGCCTCATAACGTCCTTGTCTTGTCCATCTTGAGGCACGGCTGTCCGACAGGATTCGGTAGACCTGGGTGTCACCCTTTTCTACAAGGCTCCAGAAAAGATTGTATCACTTCTTCCTGGAGAAGTTGCTAGATTAGAGAGGTCTGAAGGCATGTGATTTTACACCACTTCAAAGTAACCTATCAGGTCTGCTCTCCTTGGAGAATTTTTTTTTTCTCTCTTCCCATTTGGACATGTTACAATGATACGCCTTGTTAATAGTTTCTGATTAATGTCACTCAGAACAAGACGAAACCTCTCATTTCTGATCTCATTTATTTTCTCAGTCCTGACGAGCCCCACTCCCTGCGCCTGGACGGACCGTTCTGGTCACAGGGAAGCCGCCTTTCACCCGAGCAATGGCCAAGGAGTCAACCCCGCTGGTGTTTTTCCCCGAACCACAGTAAGACTTTGCATTTTTATTCTTGTGACACATCTTTACTCACTGAGGATGGAAATAAAAAGTAACAAAAAAACGTCAAAGAAGAGTTAGAAAGATTGCAGATGGACCCATTTCTTGGTGAAAAAAATCCACAAAGATAGTGTTCTCATATTAGAATCTTCCTACATAACTACAACATTAGATTTTGGGTCATTTCTTCTTTTAAAAAAAGGTTTTATTTATTTGAGAGAGAGAGAGAGAGAGAGAGAGCATGGGTGGGGGGAAGGGCAGAGGGAGTGGGAGAAACAGGCCCCCCAGTGAACAGGGAGCCCCATGTTGGGCTCGATCCCAAGACCCTAGGATCAAGACCTGAGCTGAAGGCAGATGCTTAAACCCCTGAGCCACCCAGGTGCCCCAATTGTGCATAATTTCTTATAGATTAGTTTGCATAATTGTATATGTGGACGCTCTATGAAAATTATGTGTGTGTGTGTGTGTGTATTAAATAAAGTTCTGGGTTTTTTTCAAGCAACAGGGATGGCTTTCTTGACAATGTATTTATTGTTCATCTAATGCTTGCTCTGGGTGGCACTAAACGGCCACAGAATGAAAGAACCAATACAGTTTGTAACATGTGGATCACTTCACATAAGGGAGCCTTGTCATCAGAAACCCTGCAGTCCCCTGGTCTGTACACCTGCTCGTGAAGGTCATGAGGAAGGGGGGTGCTGATACCGAGGGGACCCAGGCTGTCTGGGCCGGGCAGAGGGAGAAGGGCCCCCGTGGGCCTGCGGTGGCTGTGAGCGACACCCGGGGAAGGCCTTGAAAGCTGTGGATCCTCACCTGAGTTGCTTTCTGAGGAAAGGTGTGTCCTTGCCAGGAGGCAGGCTGAGGTCGGGCTGCAGACTGGTGGCTCTCAAGCCTGGGTGTGCGACAGAATCACCCGGGAGGCTTGTTAAAATACAAGTCACCGAACTGCAGCCCAGAGCGTCCAATTCAGTAGGTGGGAAACGGGCCCGAGAATCTGCACTGTGACCAGTTCCCAGAAGATGCTGATGCGGCTGGTCAGGGACGGGCCGCTGACCCCTCAGAAGCTCCCACAGCCGTAAGCAGAGCACAGCTGGGAGCGGAAGGGAAGCCGGGACCGGGGGCGGCATCCCCCCAACCGCCCGCTCTGGCTGCTCGAAAGGCGCCTGCGCAGCAGAACGCGCTGGGCGCTGGGCCGGCTGGTGGCACACGGGCTGTGCTCTGCCGGGCTCTGCTTCGGGCCGGAAGCCGATGGGGCCCCGGCCCCCCTTCATGGGGGAGCCGCCACACAGGACCGTCACCCCCATCAGCACCAGGCCTGGCGGCGCTCCACGCACGGACCTTTGCAGGATCCAAGATGCGGCAAAGCAAATGTCCTTGCAAGTGTGGGGAGACCAACATCTCAGCGAGCCTCGGCACTGGATTCTGCCGTCACAGCCTCCGTCTTCCCTGGAACACAGTGGGCAACGGCAGTCGAATCTGGGAGCCTCTCCTGACCTCACAGCCCGGGACCCGACCTGTGCCCCCGGCTCCACGGGGCAGAGCTCCGCCGTCATCCGCTGCCCTCCTCTGTGGTGACGTCTTACTCCTCACGGGCTTCCTTCTAACAGCAGACAGAGACCGCCAAGTCTCTCTGCTCTGAACAAACAAAACTTCACTCTGTCCACACAGGGCTTCCGCGAGCTGCTCCTCTCACAGGCGGCGGCCCGGAGCTCTCACAGGTGCCCACAGACGTGCATTCAGGCATGAATGCAGTAACGGGCACCCAAGGAACACGTGCCGAGCGTGGCTCTGCACGCTTGGGACACAGAGGGGAGCACATCAAAGATCTGGGCCCCGAAAGCTTGCGATCAGTGAGGGCAGGGTGGAGAAAAACGACACACAATAAACACGTCAGTGCTGTGCCGTGCCAGGCTCAGTGAGAACCCGGAGAAAAGAGGAGGCAGCTGAACAGCCCAAGGACAGAGGGAGGAGAGAGCAAGGTGGGGCTAAGTTACAGGCCAAGTTCAAGACGCCGGGTCCAGATCTTCTCCTTCTGTTAAATCCAAACGTATGAATGACACGAATCTTCACTAGAATAACATATGCGCGGGCTTTTTAATTACGGGGCTTTACAAAGAAACCTTATGCAAATCCCATCCAGGAAAGAGCCCGGCCTGACACTGACAGGAGCGGAAGGGCTGGCAATCTTCGGAAGGGAGTGATGTGAGGAGACGGGGACGGCCTCACTGTCCCCTTCCGCTCATGCGGCCCTGAGGGCCATCGCAGGCACGATGCCTTTCATTCCACAACGGGGGTCAAGGGTCGATGAGGGGCTGACGGAAGGTACGGAGCAGTGAGGGAGGGATCCACGAGCGAGACAGGACGCAAAAGCAGCAGCCTTGATTAGGGTAGGAGATCGGCACTGGGAGTCTGCTTGATAGGACAGAAACGAGACGTGGCGGGGGAAGGCAAAAGAAATTCAGTGAATTTTAAACCTTACAGTTGTGTCCTGAGTGGCTTCCAACAAGCCTGCTTCCCAGGGGCTCGGGTATGCAAAGGTTCAGGACAAAGGGCAATGGACACAGAGGCCCCAGCTGGGGGTCTCCCCAGCACCCACCCTTTGCGGTGTGGACAAGACGTACCAGTGAAGTGCTTACTGAGTCTTCAAGGAACTCCCCTGCCCCCGCGCCAACTCCTGGCTACGGTTAATTTATCTCAACTCTATAACAACGAGGTTGGAATGCATCAACGTGGCCAACTTGCATTTTCTTCTACGCTGCCATTCACGTCTTCAAACAAAATCTTAAGCAGAACACAGTACAATGGACCCTCAGACAACATGGGGGCTTAGGGCGCTGACCACCGGCGTGCAGTCAGCAATCCACGTGGAACTCTTGACTTTCCAAAAACTCAACTACTCCGAGCCCACGGCTGCGGGCCAGAAGCCTCAGCGATACCGTAAAGAGCCGACGAACACGTATTTTCTATGTTGTGTATATCACGTACTGTATTCTTACGGTAGAGTAAGCTAGAGAAAAACACGTGATTAAGGAGATCATAAGGCAGAGAAAATACATGTACGACACTGTCCATTCCGCATGTGAGTGAACCCGTGCGGTTCAACCCGCGGGGAGGGTCAGCCACCTACACGCCATCTAACGGTGACGCCGACCGGGGCTGAGGGCCCAGCGAGAGGACCATCCTGCGGCTTCCTCCTTCCCCTTCACCGTCCTCCTTCTTGGGAGCATTTCTAAAGGAAGGGTCCCACAGGATATGGTCCTTCTGGCTTCCAGCCTCTTAACGATTCCCTGATGCACACAAATCGTCAAAACGCGTACCGTGGAAATACTCACGAAGGAGATAACCTACTCTGAAGAACACGTTAAGGAAAGAAGAAAAGCTGGGTGGAAATGGGAACCGAATTCTCTGGCTCACGTCACCAAAGCATGAGACATGGTTCAACCTTTGCCGAAGGGAAAGCCCAGGGTCCCCTGCCTAAAGAGGGTGACAAGCCACTGGCACATTTTCAGGAGTGGGGACGGGTGACTGCTTCTACCGCTCGCCAGTAAGGAAACTTTAAATACACATTAAGGATGACCAGGCGGCTCGGCTCACGGACAAGAACAAAGCAGGAGGCAGGGATGCCGCGCACAAACCTTGATTCCGAGTTCGATATTTTCTCCCCCGTACACATCCATGCCAGGGTCCAGCAGACCTATTTCCCCGAAGAACTTCCTGTTGACCACGAAGGAGCAGCCAATCATGGCGGGCGTCCTGCGGGGGAGAGGACAGGTTAGAGTCGGCTGACGGGCCTACGACTCCGGCGCAGGACGAAGGAAATCCCGCCGTCTGCAGCCCCCGCGGGCCTTGCGAAGTCAGAGAGAGACAAGCACTGCATGTTCTCAGTCACACGCGGCGTCTAGAAGAGCCGGACTCAGAAACAGAGGAGGATGCTGGCTACCGGGGCTTCGGGGCTGGGGGCTGGGGGCTGGGGGCTGCTGGTCGCGGGGTCTGAATGGACAGTGTGAAGGTCCGTGCGCTCTGGAGGTCACGCGCACAGCCAGGTCATCATCGCCAGGAGACCGCACCGCGTTCTTCGCGCTGGGAGACCGGCTCCTAAATGCTTTCACTCCGCGGGAAAGACCATTATGTGAGGGAAGGTGTTAGCGGTACGCTGCGGCGGCGGCGGCGATCACACGGCCGTAGGAAACGTACCAAGTCAACAGGTTACACCCACTGTTAGGTGCCAATTATCAATTTTTAAAAATTATTTATTTAATTATCAATTCTTTTTTTTTTTAAAAGAAGGAGCTAAAGCCACTAAGGGGACATGCCAGCAGCCCCTCGGCAAGCCCCGCCCCGACAGGTACAGGGTTTCACTCCGGCACATTGAGGCACGTCCCCGAAGTTCCCATCTGGCGCCCGCACACGCTCCCCAAGCTCTGTTTCGGCTTTGGGCTGGTTAGGGTGCCCGGGGCATCTAGCGGCAGCCGGGCTTCTGGGAGCTTACACAGGACGGTCTCCTGTGACCCGTGGGGTCTGCAAACACGGGCCGGTTCTCGTGGCACGTCAGGCAACAGCTGTGTGACGCGATGAGCATCTGGGACAGTCGCAGAGAAGCGCAGACGCAGGGACCAGGACGGGAGACGACTCATCCAGGAGACCAGCAGCGCCCGGGACACACCGCCTCAGCCTGCCGCGGAGGGTGCCAGCGGGAGAGATGACAAGTCCTGGCAGCGGGCGCCCGGGTGGCTCAGTGCGTCCAGTGTCTGCCTGTGGCTCGGGTCGTGACCCCAGGATCGAGCCCCGCGTCGGGCTCCCTGCTCGGCTGCTCGGTGGGAAGACTGCGACTCCCTCTGCCTGCCGCCCGCCCGCCACTCCCCTGCTCTCTCTCTCTCTGACAAATAAACAAACAGAATCTTAAAATACTACGAAGAAGGAGAATCGGCAGGGTGGCCTGCGACCGGTAAGTCGGAAACAACGATGAATGCTTCAGTCTTGGATGCGTGAAGCCGTGATGATCTCTTCCAGCCGCACGTGGGCCACGCGCACAAGTTGGCTCAGTGAAAACCGGGGGCAAAACCCCCCGAAGCAAAGCCTCAGGGACGACCCCACAGAGCCGTCGGGAGGCGATACCGGACCAGCGCCCAGTGCAGCTTCGCCTGAAGCCCAGCCGCGCATTTCTGAGGAGTGACAGCAGCCGCGTTGGACCGAGGCCGCGGAGTTCGGGCGCCCTGAGTCGCGGCGGGGGGGCTCAGCACCCCCAGACTCCGGTCCACTCCGCGCTCCCGAGAAGGCTTCCTGCAGGAGCCCGTGCCCTGGCTGCCGACGGCCAGAAACGCCGGTGAGATGCTCTCTGGGGAGAAGAGATGGAAGGAAGCCAGGGACACCTGCCTGGGGCCTGCGGGAAGCGGTTCATGGGGTGAAACTCCCTCGAGCTGCACCGTGACCCTCCATGTTAGAGCCTCGTTTGCTCCTGATCTGGAGTCCTCGGCCCCATGCGGGAGGGAGCGGAGGGGCACACTGGAAACACCCGCGCTCGGCGCTGATGGCAGCAGTCCGAACGCTGGTGTTGCCAGGCAGACCCACACTTGCGTGATGTTAACGGAAGGTTCTGGATACCGAGTATCGCTGTGCAGAGAAGTGCACCGTGCACAGAGCAAGGGCTCAATGAAGACGGCTCCCCGGCCCTGTCGCTGGGAAGCCCTCCGAAATCCCATACAGCCACAGCCCCGGACACGGGGGGCGGCCCTCCACAGGTGTCGCACGGGCCGCACCAGGGAGGGGAGGCCCTCAGCCTGATGACCCTCTCCTCCCAGCCCTGCGGCCCTCAGAGACAGGCGGCTGACCCTAGCATGGAAAAGCACGGTGTGAGCCCACCACCTCCCACCCCCGCCCCAGCCTAGACTAACCGAACTAGGAATGAGCACCAGACCCAAACTGGGTCAATCGAATCACGTTTTTCCTGAAACTCGAAGTCAGGAGGATTCTGGAAGCGAGAACCACATGGCCCCCTTCATCTGTAGGGCTCAGGGCGCCATTTTGGGGAGGCTACGTCGGCCCCGTGTGCAAGTGCACGACTGTGCCAAGGAAGGGAGCAGAGGCACGGTGCTGGTGAGAGGCCGTGGTGAGGGGCAGCCTGGTGACTCTGGCCTCCCATCAGCTGACAGGCCCAGCTCTCCCTTCCGCCCCCCAAGGTCACGCAGGAGCCCCCCGAGTCTTGGTGTTCTATCCTTGACTGAAACCAGTGGAATAAGTCTCTGTTCTTGGCAACCAAGCGGCGATAAGGACACACACTCCCTCCTCCTCGTGATCGGGGGAAGGACGGTGTGTTCTCACGCAGCCAGCGGAGCAAACTGCAGGGAAGCCTCATTCTGCGGGAGCTCGGCACCAGGGTCCACCCACGTGATGGAGAAACACCAGCCACGGGAGATGACATGGACCTGTGGAGGAGGGGGGATGGAGCAGCACAAGGAGCACCTCGGTTTTCTTGAGGGCAAGTACTGAGCACCTCCGGAAAGGTGCGCTGGAACAGTCCCCTGACGGCCTATGCTCAGCACCCAGAAATTCCCCACAGTAACATTCACGTGCAGTTAAGGTCCTGCCCCCAGACACTGTGCTTTCCAGCCCCTCTCGGGCAAGCGAGGCTGATGCAGTCAGACGGCAGCGGCAGGCCGCACACACTCTCGGAGGGGTGACTGGGATGAAAGGGTGTTTCTCGGAGACTGGCTCGGGGCCCATCTGCACCAGCATCACCGGGATGGTCTTTGGAAAATGCAGACTCCTGACTGCGGCCCAGAACCATGGAACCAGGTTTCCGGGGACGGGACTCGGGAACTTGGGTCTGTACCAGCAAATCCGTCCTACGGAGGCATCTGCCCTCAACTGGCCAGGTGCCCGAGGGCAGAGAAGGTTCCCCCGGGAGCTGGGGCCTTGCTGGCCCAGAGCAGGCTGCCTACTGGGGACAAAGGAGGGAAAGTAACACAGCCAGGGGACGGCCCCCGTGGGGAAGGGCTCCGTGATGTCTCAGGGACACACTGGTTGAACTGGCCAGAACCCAGGACAGCAGGGAGGTGTCCTGCAGCCCAGGCTGACCAGGAGGGGCGTGGAAGAGAGAAGAGGAGGAGAAGGAGGAGAGATGGAGAGAGGAAGGGAGGGAGGGAGAGGAAGTGGTGGAGGCTGAAGAGGATGGGGAGGAGGGGGCGGGGCTTCAAAGCAGGAAGCCTTCCCTGTCAAGGAGGGCACACGGGCTGCTTGTTCCTTCCAGACCCCTCTCGGATCGCCCTTTGGGAAACATCCGGGCCTGTCAAGCAGCGTGGAATTCCAGCAGAACTGGCTTTATCTGGGTGAGGTTTTTGCCTGCAGTGGCGAGGAGACGAATTCACAGCAGGAGCTGCCCCGGGTCCCCCCTGTGCTGGTCACAGCAGGATCCGCCCGGGGTCCCCTGTGCTGGTCAGTTTAGCACATTCAACTCGGTTCCCTCCCGGGAGCCCTTGGACTCCTCACCAGGGAACACAGCAGTCCCCAAGGGCCCCTCGCTGGAACAGGCCGTAGCATGGAGGACACGGGACAAACTTGTGACCATTCCTGTCGGTGGCCTGCGAGAAGGTCCCCTAAAGGCCGCAGGGATCCCCGGCCACAGTGTCAAGAAGGAGGAACGCACCATTCTGTGTCTCGGCTCTCCCGTGAGGTGGCCCCTGACAGGGACAGTGGCAAAGAGAGGCGGGCACCGACCTGGAGATCGGCCCCGGGAGGGGCCTCCCTGCTGAACCAAGACTCCAAGGGCCACAGGAGCAGGGCTCCGCAGCCCTAGGGTCCCGGCAGGCTCCCGCGCAGAACCGGGGAACGCGGAGACTGAATTAACACACGGGTCCCCCCTGCCGTCCTGGCTAGGCCGGCCAGCATTTCCGCTGGTCAGGGGGACGACTGCTTCGCCTTCTGGAACTGTCGGACTGGACTGGTAAGGAGCCTCTCTGCTCGGGGAGGAGCGGGTCTCCGGCACCACCTCCCAGCTCGCCCTAGTGGCCAAGTCGCGGGGGGCAGGGTTGGCCAGACCCGCCTCAGCCAAGCTCTGACCCCCGCTTTCCGGCCGGTCTCCCCACCCCCTGCCCCGCCGCGGGCGCCCGGGGCTGCCGAGACCCTGGAACTGGAGCCTACAGCTCGTTGCTCAAACCGCACGGCGGTTAGCACCGTTACTGCAAACATTTCAATTCAAAATCATTCAAAAACGATAATCATATTAAGGGATCTGCCAAAGTCTAACAGCTCTATTACAGAGGAGAAGAACAGAAATTAAAAATAATCACTTTTATTGTTTCTGTCTCACAGAATATGTGTGACGCGCACTGCAGTCCCAGCTGGGAGGGAGACGCCGGAGAATTTCCACCACGGGAGAACCTTCCCCGTGTCCAGGCTTCCTCACCTCGGAGTGCCAAAGGGCCCGTGTGGGGTCTGTACCCCCAAACTCTTCATGGGCTCCCCACCCTCTCCTCAGTTACGGACAGGCCCTCCCTCAGCTTCGCTGTCCCCCTCAGCACCTTCCCGGCTGTGTCGCCCCCGGATTACACGGCCGCTCTGGGCTCATCGTCGTTCAGAAAGCCCGTCCCAATTCATGCCCATCCTCCTTCTCCCGAAACGTCTTCCCTGAGACTGCCTCCATCTATGCGAATCCTACCCAACCTTCAAAGCACCTTTCTTTCTGGAAAAAAATATTAATTTTTATGGTACGAAAAACTACAATACCTACCCTAAAGAAAATATACCTTGCAGAGATA